TTGTCACCAAATATTTTGTATGTAAATTCAACTATTTTCCCTCGCTGCAGCCTGCAAGTGATCGCGAGACTACCATTCATCTCACATTTCCATTTTATTCAAAATATAACCCTTTACTTAACTGATAATTAAATTAAACTAATAATAATCTGTATAGCAATTAGCAGTGTCTTAGCTAGATAGCAATGCAGGAATCGAGTCAACCTAGTTAAGTAATAATATAAATACGTGCCTGCTGTATTAAATTATAATTAGAAAAAGAGATCGAGCGATCCTATTGGGCAGTAAGGGGATTAAATATATTGTTTTCCAGGCGCCGACAAATCAGAAATGGCGGTTGCAAGGATAACCGACCTTTCCCCCCATAAATCTCAGACAGAAGAGCATGTTAATGAATAAATGGAAGTAATTAGACATGGAAGACAGATGAGGCGGATCAGAAGCAGTGGCAGCAATGCAAAGCAAGCAAGTAGGCGTAATTAATGATAATGTAAGGGGGAAGACAGTTCAGTATTAGCTAGCTAAATTAAACGCTCATGGATTTAATTTTAAGTACATTTGTAAGATTCTGGGAACCGCCGACCTTTCTCGGGGACGGCAAGAATGACAGCCTGCAAACAGAAGGTTATTAGTATTGTATTAGTGATCATGCATGGAATCTTGTATCCATCTTAGAATCTCACTTGTATACATCTCTACTGTATGTGTTAAGGAATTCATCATGATTGATGCATGATGAATGATGAGGCGTATTATTGTTTTACTAATTTGTTTCTCCAATATTAATTATTTGTTGATTTTTTTTCGTCAGGTTGGCCAAGTGGCAATGTGAGACGCTCTAGTAGTGGTGGAGCTACATGTAGGATGAGGGCTATTAACTCTCCATCCTTCAATACCTAAGTTCAATTGTGAGAAACTGTTTGATATTCTGATTTCGCCACTACACTCTAGGTTCGAGCATGCAGGCTCTTAATTTACTCTCAAAACTATTATTTCATATGCAAGTGATAATCGACTCCAAAAAATTTTTGTCAAAGCAAAGAAATAGTGGTGGATTAAAGCAAAGATGGAGGTCGACGAGAGATCCTTAGAACGAAGGTGTCTGGCAAAGTACTGAAACAAAGAGTTACGTCGAGAGAGATGGAGCATCGGTAATAAATGTTACGGGATCGATTCCCCTTCTTCTGATCTGAACATTCGGATGTTCACGCTTTTTCTAAAACTACTATTGGTTTGATCAACTACCTAATATCGCCCCCCTCACCCGACCGTTTGGCACTTGACTGATCACGATGGGATCAACGACTTATATAATTCAAATATAATTAAGATATAGTTGATTTGTGCAAGCTTCAAATCTCAGTAGAGCATAAAGTTTCCATTTAAATTAAGGCGTGAGTTAAAGTTAAGCAAACTAATATTTGATTACGTAATTGTTTAGATATTTATAGTCCTAGTTGTAACTAGTTAACTGCTTTTGTGTTTGAGGGATGGGATAAATATAGTTATTAGTTATAAAGCTAGACAGAAAATCTGGTGGTAGCAAAATTTGGATGCGAATCTCGTAGATTAGGGTATTGTGTAATAGTTCAAGGTAGATTATAGAAGATCACCACCACGACCAAATTTGGTTTGATTTGTCTGAGATACGAAGGTAAGATCGATAAGGGGAAATTCGATGAGATTTCAGGATTAACTTGGATATGGTAATCAGATTTTTTTTTTTTGGTGGCATGGTAATCAGATTTAATAAGACCTATTTGCTTAAACTAATTAAAAATAAAAATAATGCATCAAAACCTATGACCACGATATTTCGGGTTCCTACAAGGTCTTCTTCTTGTTTGTATATGCTGCATTTGAATTTAATTTAATAACCACCACCGTAGAGCCAATTATTTGAGTGTTGATAATACGGTGGAGAGAGGCTGGTTTTGGTCGCAATATCTTTAAAAATCCAATTTGTTTAAGAAATTGGTGTTTGTTTTTAGGTAAATAAGAATCGTATATAATACTCATAATTACACTAAATCAGTTGTACTAAAATACATCAATTTCATAAAATAAATACGGGATAAAGATTTTTCCTATTGGTAAAAAATGATTTTCCTAGCTCAAAAAAGTTCGTTTTAGAAAACTTCCCTTTGATATTGATTTTTTTATTAGACATATTCCGTGTAACACGTTATACAAATCTTACATAACAAAAAGTACAGGAGAGATTTATGATTCATGAGTAACAAACCGATATTAACTGACAATACACGTTTTGAGGTGCAATGAAATAGTTCTTGTAAGAACTCTGAAGTTAAACGTGCTCACTTTGGAGCACTACAAATATGAATGACCTTATAAGAAGTACATTGATATACATTCTAAGACAAAATTCGTGAGGATCTAAACCCAAAATGAACACATATATTGTTGGGAAAAAGTAAAACTTCGGGATGTTAAAAGCTATATTTAATTTTAATTTTCTTTTGATTTTTGTTATTGGAATTGAAGTTGCGTGCTCAACAACCTTGTGCATCCCACTTGGCTACTTCTTCTGCCTGTAGAAACCAATTTCTAAACCCCACTTGTATAAATTTCCCCCCTTCGATCGTATCATTTACTAAATGCAAATTTTCTTATAAGGAAAAAGGATTGTCCTGATCTTTTATCTTTCAATAAGATTTCCAGAGAACCATCTCATTTTGTGGTGTGAAAAGAAAAGACACCATAGGCAATTGAGTTAAAAAGAGAACAAACTTCACGTAAGATGGCTCCAAAGCGACCGTCGTTGGTGTTTCCAGTAGGGTGACTATACGGTTCGGTCCGGTTAAATTGGTCACAGTTTGGTTTTTTCGGGAATATAAGAACCAAAGATTGGATTGGATACAGTCCAGTTTTGATCCGGTCCGGTCTCAATTTGATCTTGATTTTAGGTGTTGAGGGTCTCTTATCCGGTCTTTATCCGGTTTTTTTTTACCTCAAATCTAAACCCGAATATGAGATTTGATTGTTTGCTATCCGGTCTCAATCCAATCCCGATCCGAATTATACTGTCCGATTTCGAGTAAAACCAAATAGTTCGGACCAAATAGCAAGCCCTAGTTTCCGGCGCCAAGGGCTAAAGGACAACCTGAACATCACTCGTCATTTATATGGGTCGATCTGCCATTGCCACCGCTATAAAATATATAAAGCCTCACGAATTGCTAAGATTTCCACAGCTTCTGGATCGGATACAGCTTGAAATGAGCAGCCAAATGCAGAGACAGGTGTAGCTCCTTGAAAATCAACCATACCAACAGTATAGCGGTGCAAATTCTGTTGGTCAGGACTTTATATGACCTCAGCCGCCCTCGTCTTGGAAAGAAGAATGATACTTCATTAGTCATTGCTCCTTGTTCCGGCGTTTGCGCTGCACCTTTTCTAATAAGTCCTATGTACTGCACTGCACTGCACTGCACTGTCCAGACAGGCTCAAGATAGGGTGCATAACCATGGGTTATGCACCCATCAATAACCAAATTTGGACCCTTCATTTAGAAAATCCAGATCTAAGGATGGAGAATTAAAGGCTATTTTTATTTTCACTAGTTTTCTTAATTGACTCATATCTTTTTCGTTTTAACTCGGATTTTAATTTTTTTTGCACAGATGGAACGAGTTCACCGTGCTCTACAAAATGAGATCAATTTTCAATATTTTTTTAGGAAAAAAAAATTCTGGCCTCTCGGTACCAACTGCATACCATATGGTATCTTCTTCGTTTTTAATTCGTTTTTGAAAACGTTTGCACAGCAGGGATGAGTTCATCATGATCTACTGGATCTACAAATTTCTGGGTGAACAAATTACAGGACCAAAAAATACCACACAATACCATACAATACCACCCTGGTACGGGGTGGTATTGTATGGTATCTTCTTCATTTTTAATTCGTTTTTGAAAATGTTTGCACAGAAGGGACGAGTTCATCATGATCTATTGGATCTACAATTTTCTGGGTGAACAAATTATAGGACCAAAAAATACCACACAATACCATACAATACCACCCTGGTACGGGGTGGTATTGTGTGGTATACAATGTTGAAAGTCGTAAATTACAATTAATATACTTCTACTATCATGTATTCAGCCATCCTACAGTATTGGTTTGTTCATACCACCATTGTACGTTTTTCAAAACATAGGTATGCTTTTATTTCAATACCAGTCAATACCATATGGTATAGGCTGGTAAAAAATGGCTCAATTTTTTTTGTTCGAAAAATATATTAAAGTGGATATCATTTTGAAGAGCACAATTAATCTGATCTAACTGTGCAAAAAAAATTAAATTCCGACTTAAAATGAGCGAGAAATCGTCCGTCAAAGATTAAAGAGGGAAAAATTAAAGGCTTTTCATGAGAGAGAGGATGCTGATGTCATGCTGATGTGGACGGGTTACTCATGGTTACTCACCATAAGGTTACTGACCTGATCCCTTCCCGTCCAGACACCACAAATCCCCAAGCTCAGAAAAGGAAAATCACCCGTTTTCTTTTTACCCCAGCAGCTGCCGCCTGCCAGAAGGGAACCAGAGAAAATACAAAAGCCCATGCTGTAACTAGATATAAGTAATAAAAATTAAATAATAAATGACAAACGCCCACCCTAGCCTTATTGAATACTAATCAGTGCTAGTAAACTATCAAAATGGTAAGCAAATAAATACATAAACAAATACCCCCTCCCATGACTTCACCATCCCATTAAAGAAATAGGAAGAAAAAAACATTAAATTGCCACCTCAGCAAAGGTTCATGAACCCCGAATTTCCCCACACCTTCCCTCTCCGCCTCTCCCTATAAATACTCCTCTCCACCTGTCCAGTTTCCTCACCTCTCATCATCACTTCCCTCCCTCTCTCTCTCTCTACTTTCCCCACCAAATTACAGAGAGCTTAGAGAGAGAGAAACCCCAAAACAAACAAATTAATCTAATTCCAATTCCACCATATCCGAAAATGCCTGCCGCTCCACTCAATTCCTCACTCGTCACTCTCCTCTCCAAATGCACCGTCGTCCCCGACCAGAAATCCACCATGCCCGACCTCAAGCTCTCCGCCTCCGACCTCCCCATGCTCTCCTGCCACTACATCCAGAAGGGCGCCCTCTTCTCCCGCCCTGACTTCCCTTCCGCCTCCCTCCTCCTCCTCCTCCAATCCTCCCTCGCCCACACCCTCTCCCTCTTCCCCCCTCTCGCCGGCCGCCTCTCCACCGACCCCGACACCCACCACGTCTACATCGCCTGCAACGACGCCGGCGCCGATTTCATCCATGCCTCCGCCCCCCAGATTTCCCTCTCCCAGATTCTCGGGTCGGTCCGGGGACCCGACTTCGTCAACGGGTTCTTCTCCCACGACCGCACCGTCAGCTACCAGGGCCACCACCGCCCCATCCTCGCCGTCCAGGTCACCGAGCTCGCCGACGCCGTCTTCATCGGCTGCTCCGTCAATCACTCCGTCACTGACGGCACTTCTTTTTGGAATTTCTTCAACACGTTCGCGCAGGTCGCCCGCGGAGTGAAGCGGATCCCCTGTTTACCCGACTTCACCCGCGACGGCTGCCCCCTCATGTCCTCCGCCGTCCTCCGCCTCCCCGAGGGTGGCCCACGTGTCACCTTCGACGAGACCGCGCCGCTGAGCGAGCGGATCTTCAGTTTCACTCGTGAATCCGTCCTCAAGCTGAAAGCGATTGTTAACAAGGACAACGCCAAGTGGGTCGGGTCCGGGTTCGACCCGGTGGAGCTGATGGGCAAGCAGAGCAACGACCCGTTTTATTACTCGAACCAACAAAAGAAGATGCTGTCAAACGGCGTCGTTCTGCAGGAGAAGGAGATCTCGTCGTTTCAGTCCCTCTGCGCGCTCGTGTGGCGGGCGGTGACACGTGCGAGGAATTTGAGCCCGTCGAAAACGACGACGTTTCGGATGGCGGTGAACTGCCGCCACAGGGTGAGCCCGAAGATGGACCCGATGTACTTCGGGAACGCGATCCAGAGCATCCCGAGCTACGCGACGGCGGGGGACGTGGCATCGCGGGAGCTGCGGTGGCTGGCGGAGAGGCTGAACGAGAACGTGAGCGCGTACGACGACGCGAAGGTGAGGAGCGTGGTGTCGGAGTGGGAGGCGAGCCCGCTGTGCTTCCCGCTGGGGAACCTGGACGGGGCGTCGATGACGATGGGGAGCTCGCCGCGGTTCCCGATGTACGACAACGACTTCGGGTGGGGACGGCCGCTGGCGGTGAGGAGCGGGAAGGCGAACAAGTTCGACGGCAAGATGTCGGCTTTCCCCGGAAGGGATGGCAGCGGGAGCGTCGATCTCGAGATTGTTTTGTCGCCGGAGACGATGGACGCCATTGAATCTGACCGCGAGTTCATGCAGTATGTTTCAAGCTGATTAATATAATAATAATTAATAATATTTGACCCGACTGTTGTAGAGAGAGGAGTGGGCCTGGGCCGGTAGAGTGTTTGGGGGAAATTGGGCCGGACGGTGAGGTGTAATATGCTGTTTCTGTTTTGTACCTTTGTGACATAGCTTTTGTACTGATGCTGATTTCTAAATGGTGAATTTCGGTTTTTTCTTTACCGAGGCAGGCGTCCGTTTTCCTCATGTTGAATTTGGACGGAATTGAATTGGCCTAACTAACATAAATAACTAGGGGTGGCTATACGGTCCGGTCCGGTTAAATTGGACCAAATTGATCCGGTCACAGTCCGGTCTTTTCGGGAATATAAGGACCAAAGATTGGATTGGATACAGTCCGGTCTTGATTCGGTCCGGTCTTGACCCGGTCCGATCCCAATTTGATCTTGATTTTAGATGTTGGGGATCTCTTATCCGGTCTTTATCCGGGTTTTTACCTCAAATCTAAGCCCGAATATGAGATTGGATTGTTTGCTATTCGGTCCCAGTCCGGTCCCAGTCCGGATTATACGGTCCGGTTTCGGGTAAAACCAAACAGTCTAAGACCAAATAGCCAGCCCTATAAATAACCGCAACTTGGCTCTGTTTGAGAGAGTAAGGTTCAATTCTAATAAAATAAAGTATGCCAATTAATTAATTATTTGGGGACTGAACCAAAAAACAAAAAACTAATGTAGGGACGGCTAATCTATACAACGAAACTAATCAGTGAACTCGCCGCTTTTATGGACAGTTGACTTTTGTGTTTATTAATGATCCTCTGTGTTCCTGTCATGAGAAGAAAAAAAAAATCTTCCACCAAAAAGAAAAGAAAGAAGGAAAGAGAAATCAACCCACGACCTATGGTCCTCCGCAGTTGACTAACGTCCATGTCAGTTGAGGGAATCTCTTCTCGCCACCACTCGGAGAGTCGGGAGTTGAAATCGAAAGGAAGGAGGGAGCTTCTTCGGTTGCCAGCGGCGGGCCGAGCAGATGCCCCGTAAAAAACAAGCGTGAATGCGATCGACCGCCCCCACAAAGCCAAAGGCCCAAACTTATTCAATTTGCTAATGTTAATTACTTAATTAAAATCGTGGATGCCCACGTGTTGGGATAAATGGTTGTTTGATTTGTAGTTCAACTATATAGCATTTGTGTTATATGTTTTCATTTTTATGGTACAATTTGAAGTTGTAACTTTAACATTATAGTATAAGGGTTAAAGACACATTTGGTCACTGAGATTACAAAATCGGGACATGTTTAGTCACTAGAAAAAGTTAATATCAAATTTGGTCACTACAATTACTAAAATAGGTCATATTGAGTCACTCTCCGTTAGTCTCCGTCCAACTCCGTTAGTGAAGTCCGTTAAGTGCTGACGTGGCTAACGGATGCGCCTAGTCAGCATCGTTTTGACCCAAAAATCATCATACCCGACCCGCCACGTCAGTTTCACCCGCCATGTCATACACCAACCCAACTATTAACCCAACCCGACCCAAAACCAAACTCAACCCACCTAACAAAAAAAAAAAGGAAAATCATCTGGTTAGTGGCCATTTTCAGACCTTCGACTTCCTGGTTCCGACTCGAACACGAACACCACCACCTTCGACTTCCTGGTTCCGAGTCCGAGCGTGAGGGTGTGCCACGCGTGGTGGGCCAGGATCGTGAAGTTGGTCGGGAGGAACGCGGCGGTGGTCGGGAGCGGCGGAGTGGTGGTCTTCTTTTTGTCGCTGCACCACCGCAGATCCGACCCTCACTGGTCGGCTATTAGGACCGCCACGAACCTCTCCCCCGACGGCCGGCTCCACCTCAGCCACCTCAAGCTGCTCCGCCTCCTCGGCGCGGGGAATTTGGGGCGGGTCTTCCTCTGCAAAATTAGGGATTCCAGCGACGCCGCCTCCGCCCAATTCGCGCTCAAGGTCGTCGATCGAGATACTCTCAGCAAGAAGAAGCTCTCCCATGTGGAAACGGAGGCAGGAGGTGGAAGGTGAAGGTCATAGTGAACACCGATTCGGGGACGTCGTCTAGGATCTTGACGGCGTCGTTCGGGATCGGGTGGAAGGACTTCGCCGGAGCTAATCAGCTCGGAGTCGGAGATGTCTGTGCGTTTGAGCTGGTGAATAGCAGTCCCGGCCGCACTACACCTGCCTGTTAAGCGATTACTGCTCCAACGGCGACCTCCACTCGTTGCTCCGGAAGCAGCCGGGGAACCGGCTGCCCCTCGCGGCGCCGCTCCCGACCACCGCCGCGTTCCTCCCGACCATATGATTTTCCTTTTTTTGTTAGGTGGGTTGAGTTTGGTTTTGGGTCGGGTTGGGTTAATGGTTGGGTTGGTGTATGACATGGCGGGTGAAACTGACGTGGCGGGTCGGGTATGATGATTTTTGGGTCAAAACGATGCTGACTAGGCGCATCCGTTAGCCACGTCAGCACTTAACGGACTTCACTAACGGAGTTGGACGGAGACTAACGGAGAGTGACTCAATATGACCTATTTTAGTAATTGTAGTGACCAAATTTGATATTAACTTTTTTTAGTGACTAAACATGTCCCGATTTTGTAATCTCAGTGACCAAATGTGTCTTTAACCCTATAGTATAATTTTAGATTGTACCATAACATAAATGGTTGTATCGTAACATAAATGTAAAAATTCCTTTATGGTACAACCTAAACTTATAAATTTAACATTATGGTACAACTTCAAGTTGTACTTTAAAGCACCAATGTTTTATAGCATAATAGAAGTGCTCTTAAACTAGATTGTTAAAATACTTGCATTTTATAAGAATTAAGGAGTCTAACTAGGGATTATTTTTGTGAGATTGTTATTATACACAACACATGAATTGTATATGTGATGGAATATAAACTAACACTCAAAATAATTTATTTTATATCTATTTTTTAGTTAGATAGTTGAGTTGACACGGTTTGATCTAATGTAAAGTAATAGTTTTTTCAAAACTTGTAAACACAATCGCGCATACTTAATGTGTTTTGCTATTCAAATCACGAATTAACGGAATTTTGAAGCATTCTACTAGATTCCAAATCACAGGAAATATACTAGAAAGTAGATGGTTCATAAATAATAAGAAATGTACTTGTTCTGATTTCACGAGAAGACAAATGGAGCGAGTTAATATTTTTGTGTCACCCAATTATAAGAAGAAAATATTATTGTGTCACTGATTGTAAGAACAAGTGAATGTTGTGATGTTCGCTCTAACAACTAATTGAAAAAAAAAGGGAACTATCACAAGTTCACAACATTGTTTGCTTTTATGGTATATTTGTTTTCCAACCTTGCTTCACAATAGTTGTTTTTTGTTTATGTTGCGTTGTTAGGACATCACTATGAGTGATTATAACTATTAACTAATCCCCTATTATATGTGGCCGTACGAGACAGTAAAGTAGCGAACTCAGAGTAACCTATTTTTCCATAAATATGAACCTTGCATTCGTAATTAAAGGATTAAATTATACGTATAAGTAAACCTGATATTAAAAGTTGGACTTCTCTTTGGGTCTGATACAAAAACAAAACCTTACACTCTTTGGATTGTGAATTGTGATGATGGTCTCCATTCTCTTTTGGGCTGGGCTTGATCACAATGCTTATCACTTTAGGCTTGTGGCTTTTATATGTGAGATTAAGTAAAGTCCTAATTGGACCTTCTCAACGGCCCACACAGCCCAACGTGCCAATATCATTTTTTCGATAAGATCCAAACGCAATATCAATAGATAAATTTATTAAAAAATACAAATGACCAAAAAAAGAAACTCTGCTCGATTTCGCAATTGCTTGAACGACCTGCCTACTCAATTTATTACACACATGACACACCAAACCCAACGGAACGGAGGGCCAAATGGGTAATAGCAATAATATAATATTAAAACACAGAGAGAGAAAATTCAGAAAGAATAGCTCGGCCTCGGCAACTAGCAGTACAGAAAATGTGCCCCTTCCCTTCCGATCACTTCGGCATGCGTGATGTAGGTAACTAAGTCAGAGACCAGTCTCAGTTTCCTCTAGGACTCCTCCTCCCTCCCTCCCTCTTCTCTCCTTCTTCCTTCCTCCCTGTGCTCTGTCGTCCTTCTGCTTTCCTTTCCCGGTGAAAAAAGGTTCCCTAAAGGAGGGGGGGAAAAAGATTATACAAAGGCCTCGGTTTCAAAATCGGAAGAGTTCGGTTCAGCGAAATTCCGACCATGTCTGAGGCTCTGATCAATGGCCTCGCCGGAGCCGGCGGTGGGATCATCGCTCAGCTCATCACTTATCCTCTTCAGACTGTACGCCTCCCCGATCTCTCCTTTTCTTCATTCCGCTCAGCATCCTTATTCGGCCGGGAATTGGCGAGTTTGATCTGGTTCACGGTGAAATGTCTCTTTCTGCAGGTGAACACTCGGCAGCAAACGGAGCGTGGCGTGGAGGAGGAACAAAAGAAGACTATTGGCACCATACAGCAAATGTGCCAGGTTGGGATTCCTTCTTAATTCTCATCCGCTTCAGTTTGTTCAATTCGTTTCCATCTGATTTCTGGAGAATTTTAGGGTTTGGATTCGTGCTGGTTTTCGTTTCGTATTATGGATTTGGATCATGCGTTGACTCGAATAGGAAGGAAAAATTTGTTGTTGACTAAGGCTCGTTAGAAGTTTTGCGAATGGCCGCCATGTATAAGCCTCCCAGACTGATTGTGGTCTTCAATGATTATGTAGGTTGTGAGGCATGAAGGATGGGAGCGACTGTATGGAGGATTAGCTCCATCACTGGCAGGGACTGCCGCATCGCAGGTATGAATTCGGTTTCCAAGCTTACTAGCTGTTTACGTCATTGTATTGCTCAGTTACACAGTTTAGTCGTTGGTAAGGTGCTTCAAAGTTCTAGTGAAGATGATACATGAGTGGTTGTGGCACGAATAGTTGATAAGTGTGAACTGATGTTGTGATCTCTACATTGAATTTTATGCTGGCGCTGTGAAAAGTGCATTGACTGAGTTTGGAGTGGCTGATGTTGAAGGCTTACAAATTTGTAGACGTTCATATTGTTTGAAATGGCACTTGGATTGCACTGTTGTCATTGTAGAAGGTAACATGCCTGGTGTCTATCTTCGTTTTGAAAGTCTAAATGTAGGCCACCGTGGTACATCTTGCTGTGGTTTCCAGGACTGTAACAACCTTTCACTGATTCTTGCTGAGTGAGCGATTTGAAATTTGGATAATCTCTGTTCAAACAGAAAGCTTGTTATTTAACTCAGCAACTTGCTGTTTTGTTTCTACAGTCCGGATTGCTTATATGCGTGCGTTCATGCTACAGGGTGTTTATTATTATTTCTATAAAATATTTAGGGACAGAGCTGAAGCTAAGGCACTTGAGCGTCAGAGGAAAGGGTTTGGTGATGGATCCATCGGGATGCTTTCATCACTTGTGGTGGCTGCTTTAGCAGGGTAATATACTTTTGTTTGTTTGCTCAACTACTTCAGGTCACTGTATTGTTTTTCAAATGTATTATTGCAATTTTTATGCGATAAATTCATAAAACCATATTCCTCTTTAGTTCATTTTCTCCTCTGTATATGTGATTTAATCCTTTGGATGGAATTGATAATGTGCAGGTCTGTAAATGTGTTGATGACAACCCCAATCTGGGTTGTTGTTACAAGAATGCAGGTAAACACAAGAAGGTCTAGTTGTATATTTGAAAGTTTTTGAAATTGAAGTATGGTATCTTGCCTTAATTCTTAGATTTATCTCTCCTGACATTTTGTGATGTCTTCTCAACTTATTACTTCACTTGCATTCTTAACTTATGTGTAACAAGAAGCCTGTTACAGACAGAGCAAAAAAATGCGGCTCTATTTTGCCCTGCGTCAAGTTGTTGATCACCTAGTGATTATACTTTGTTACTCTTGTTAGTTCAAGAGTCTGAATAACTTCTGCTCTACAGACTCACACAAAAGCTGCAAAGAAATCAGAACCTAGTAGCTCATCAGATGCTTCAGCTAAGCTTATAGTTCCAACTGATCCTCCTCCATTTGGAACTTTTAATGCGGTTTGTACATTCATTTCGCTCATCGTCAGCCCTTTTGATATTCAAATCAAAATTTTGGGACATGCTGTGGTTCTTTTGTTCTTTGTGGGCTTTAGTAGTTTTTCTCATCCCTGCAGATTCAAGAAGTCATTGATGAAGCTGGAATTCCAGGTTTCTGGAGAGGTGTATTACCAACACTGATCATGGTAAGCGATTGTCCACTGTTGAATCTGATTAGGATGGATTATCAATGATTGTCCAATCTCTTGTTTGTCAGGTAAGCAATCCCGCAATACAATTCATGTTATATGAAACACTGCTGAAGAAGTTGAAACAACGACGCTCATTGCTTAAGAAGGGTGAAGCCGGAGTAACTGCTTTGGAGGTTTGCTTTGCATATATAGCTTCAGGCTTTGATCTCTTTCTCAGTTGCTTTTCCCCTCCACTCCTGTATGGATTGCATAGACAGAATTGTTGTAACAGTGTATCTCTGCTTCTGTGTGGTTTTCATAGACATTTCTTCTCGGAGCACTGGCTAAACTGGGAGCTACTGTCGTAACCTATCCTCTTCTTGTTGTTAAGGTAAAAATGAAATTAGCCCCTTGGGTGCACATTTCATCTGTTACCATGGTTCGAAGATTTTTTTTGTGTGTAAGATCTGTGTTTTGAAAATTAAGAAGTCAGGAAAGAACAATTTACTGGATGGCAATTATGCAGCGAAGCTCAACCTTCATAATATGTTGCAAGGCCACAATCCATCGTTGTATCGAGAAACATTTATGTTTGATTTATATTCGTTTTTGAAACTCTTCTAAGTCGGAAATTGTTTGCTTTTTGCAGTCACGCCTTCAAGCTAAACAAGTTACTACAGGGGATAAAAGACATCACTATAAAGGTTCGAAGAATTCTGTATCACTTGAGTTGTATTCTGAAGTTTGCATGAGTTATATTATTTTAGCAGTTGTTCCCTTCTGCAATGAACATTCCGACTTGATTAAATCTCTGTTCTTTTCGCCCTTCTAATTTAGGTACGCTAGACGCTATCTTGAAGATGATCCGTTACGAAGGTTTATATGGGTTTTACAAAGGAATGAGCACGAAGATCTGTCAGAGCGTGCTAGCTGCTGCTGTGTTGTTCATGGTGAAGGAAGAACTCGTCAAGGGTGCCCGTTTCGTACTCACCGGGGGTGCTGCAAGCAAAGCACTGAAATCAAAGCATCCATAAGACCATTACAGCTCCACTCCACCCCACCCCTGCAATCTCTTCATGATATAGGTATCGTTTGCTTGTGAGGTTTGGGTGATGGATTTGATACCAAAACCCTCATTTTCAAATCCAACAAGCAAACGAGCCGTAGTTTTCCTGATTCAAAATCCACAGCCAATTGTTAGGCTGATGAAATTAGATAATAAAGAGGTACCCTACAATTGTTTGGTTTGTCATTACAGTGAGGCTCAGGCAGCTTCATTCCCATAGTTTAAAAGTTCTGTAGTATACAAAGATTTACTATAGGAATTAGAGCATGTGGATCTATAATAATAGTGTTTGAAACACAAAAACAAAAACATCACTTGCGGTTTCTTGGTTACATGTATCATGTATGAGATCAAACGTTAATATGTTTTTGTTTTTGAGGCGACAAACGTTAATGTATTACATATTTACATGGTATGATGGTAGGTCTCGAGTACCAATATGGTACTGGATGCTTTTCGTGTTTTAGGAAATTTGTGCTATGTTAAGTTGCCAATAATTATTATACTGACCAATTTATGATTGATTTTCTCATTTGATATAATGTGTTTTGGCCTTTGAATTTTTATTCATATATAATTTAGTTGGTAAAAAACTAATGCTTAACTTTAACCTCTGTTTCTTACAGTAGCAAATTGTTTCTGAATGACGAGGATTAGCTCATATTCTCTCCCTCGTGAGAGCTCTCCCTTCCTCTGTCCTTCAGAGTGACTGTTCATCTCCCGCCTTCTGCGGTGTTTGAATGTCTGTATCATCTGCTTGCCCCATTCAATCTGTCATCCGTTTCCTTTCCCCCTTCTAAACCTCTTCTCCTTCCCTCTTCCCTGGTATCCCCGTGGTTTGCATCTTCACCAACCTTTACTTATCCTCAAGTGTCTTTTCGTCTCCCTCCTGATGGCGGCCGAAACTGACATCACTGAGAAAATAGCAAGTGTTAGCCTGACAGAAGAAGAAGAAACTGGCATAAAGATAGAAGAATCTGATGAAGAAAAGGGTATCGAGGAAGTGATCACAGAGCTGGGAATCGCTGGAAAGATAATCGCAGGAAGACTCGGCTCAGCCAGGGTTATGAAGAACATCTTAAAAGAAGTATGGCGGTTAAAAAAGGACTTTGACATCAGAATCAACCAAGATGGTATTATGTTGCTGCAGTTCTACTGCTATGAAGATAGGGACAGGGTCCTTCTGGGAGGCCCTTGGCACTACGAAAAGCAGCTTATAATCTTCAAGGAAATACCACCAGACTTACAAACGAAAGAGATCGACTTCTCAACAACTGAGATCTAGACGCGGATCCGGAATATCCCACTGAAGCTTAGGAACTGTAACATGGCGAAGAAAATTGGGGGAATGTTTGGTTCCTTCCTGAAATGGGATGAACTTCATTCTGGGCGAGATAGTGATTATCTGAGAATACGAGTCTCCATCAATATCAAGAAACCTCTACGCAGATTTGTAAAATTGGAAGGGTCTCAGGGCCCGGTCTCATATAAGGTGGCTTATGAAAAGCTGCCTATCTATTGTTACTGCTGTGGAATTCTTGGACATCTGAAAAATGGATGCCCGAAAAAACTGGAGAACTTAGACAACGAGATAAAAGAAGAATATGGAATATGGCTCCGGGCTGAATCACCACTGAAGAGAGTCGATCAGAAGTTCAAAGAGGAAAAGAAGAGAATGGATGCCCTGTGGAATGAGCTGAAAGAAGGAAAAATAACAAAAGGAACTCGCAATAAAAAAAGGGAACAGATGGAGGATCAAATTGATGGGACACCACAAGACCTGGAAGGAAGGAAAGTTCTTACCAAGGTGAGATCTGAGATATGTCACGAGACTGAATCAAGGGAGATCAGTACAAAGGAGCTAGCGAATGAACTTCAAATCATCAGCTTTGAAGAGTCAAATGTAGAGGCAAACGAGAAGAAGAGAACTACCACTCAGAGTGATGAAAGGGATGAATCTACTGAGAAAGAGAAGCCTCAGGCTCCTAACAAGGAGACAGAACCTAAGGGTAACTCAGTGTCAGAAGAGGAAAGCCTCAGCAAGAGTGACCAGAAGACAAGGAGTCCGGGAACAGAACCAACTACTAATCCTGCTAGTACAAGGAAGTGGACTAGAATAGAGAGAAAGAAAAGTGAAAAGACTGAAGAGATCAGGGAGAATATTGGCAGCAAAAGAACGTTTGAGGATGGCATTAAGGATATGGAAATCGACCCTTTGCCTTGTGGGGGGAAGAAACACAAGCAAAATTCTAACTGTCTAGTGGATGGCGATGTGGCGGTCCTTGCCGAGGAGCAAGGCCGCCGAGCCCAATGAGGCTTATAAGTTACAACTGTCGAGGTCTGGGCCAAACCTCGGCAGTTGATGAACTGAAGAGGCTCATTGGTAAACAGAGACCTGATATTCTCTTTTTAATGGAGACGAGGCTATCAAACAAGGAGTGGAGGGGAGTGAAGCAAAAACTGGGATACAAAAATGGTTGGGGGGTCCCAGCTAGAGACGACAGGGGCATGAAGGCAGGAGGGATTTGTTTATTCTGGAGGGAGGGCATTAATATCTCTTATTTATCTAGTGCAGCAAATTACTTTGACGTAGCAGTGGACTATGAGGAGGAAGGCCCAAAATGGCGCTTGACAGGTTTCTATGGGAACCCAAACAGAACTGAAAGGAACCAATCTTGGGATCAATTAAGAAGATTAAAGAATATAAGTGATCTCCCGTGGCTATGTATGGGTGACTTTAATCAAGTAATGGCTGGAGTTGAGAAAGAAGGGGGCCGCCAAGTTAGAGAAAAAATGATTGCTGACTTTTGTGATGCTTTGGAGTTCTGTAGACTCATGGACTGTGGGTTTGAGGGGTACCCCTTCACCTGGGATAATGGGAGAGGAGGAGAAAACTTCATAGAAGAAAGATTGGACAGATGTTTTGCGGACTGGGAATGGCAGTTGAGGTTCCCAAACCACAAAGTCTTTCATCTGGACAGGTGTGGTTCAGATCATTGTCCCATCCTGATGAACACGAAGGATAGTGAGGAAGAAGAAATTAAGTGGGGGTGGCAGTTTAGAGTGGAATCTTACTGGCTACAGGACCCGGAAAGCAGGGAAGTTATAGCTAAAGCTTGTATGTCCGCTGACGATGGAAACATTCTGAATACTCTTGGAGAATGTAGACGAGAGCTTCAGCGGTGGAGCAAAGAGAAGTTTGGAAACTTACAGAAACGAGTTGATAAAATTGATCAGGAGCTAAAGAAGATCAAATACTATCCTAAGACTGAGCAACAGATTCACAGAAGAAGAGAATTGGAAGCTGAAAGAACAGAGCTTATTCACAAGATCGAGCTAAAATGGAAGCAAAGATCTAGAGCAGATTGGCTCAAAGGAGGGGACAAGAACACAAATTTCTTTCATTCAAAGGCTACAATGCGCAGGAAGCGAAATACTATCAAAGAGATTTCTGATGAAGCAGGGAGGAAATATAAAGGTCAAAAAGAGGTCACAAACCATATGCTTGATTATTACAGTAATCTCTTTACGAGAATGCCTAACCCCGGTTCTGATTTTGTAGTCAATTCTATCGAAAGGAAGGTGACTGACAGGATGAACGATGTCCTCTCAGCCCCTTTCAAAGGAGAGGAGATCAGCCAAGCTCTTATGCAGATGGGACCGACAAAGGCGCCGGGATCAGATGGTTTCCCTGCTGGCTTTTACCAGCAGAATTGGGACACGATTGGTGGGAAGGTCACAACTGCCATCCTTAAGTACCTAAATGAAGGCTATATTCCCCCAGAAATCAACCACACTCTGATTGTGTTAATTCCGAAGGTGAAAAAACCTGCTATGGCAAAAGATTTTCGGCCCATTAGCCTATGCAGAGTTATTTACAAAATTGCCTCAAAAGTCTTGGCCAACAGACTCAAGGAAGTTCTAAATGACATTATTTCAGAAGAGCAGAGTGCTTTTATCAAAGGCCGGTTCATAACTGACAACATTATTGCTGCCTTTGAATGTTTTCAGTATCTGAAGAAGAAGACTAAGGGCAAACGGGGCTTTTTCGCTGCCAAGTTAGACATGACAAAAGCTTATGACCGGGTCGATTGGGATTTCTTGGAAAGGGTTATGCGAAAGCTGGGCTTTAATGAGAACTGGATCAGACTTGTAATGATGTGTGTCAGGAACGTCTCCTACTCAGTCCTAGTCAACGGACATCGATCCAGCGAGTTTAAACCGTCCAGAGGACTCAGGCAAGGCGATCCCCTGTCGCCCTACCTATTTCTGATATGTGCTGAGGGATTCTCGGCTCTGCTAAAGAAAGCTGAGAGGGAAGGAAGGATTCATGGCATCAAGATCTGCCACAAAGCTCCAACAATCTCACATTTATTGTTCGCGGATGACAGCCTAATTTTTGGCAGGGCAACGATTGAGGAAAGTGAACAACTGAAACAGATCCTGAAGATCTACGAAAAGGAATCAGGGCAGTGCATAAATCTCACCAAATCCGAAGTCTCCTATAGTAAAAATGTAAAATGGAGTAGAAGACTGGAGATCAGCGGGACCCTGGGAATTACAGTGGTTGAAAAACATCAAAAATATCTCGGATTACCTACTGTGATTGGAAGATCGAAGAGGGACGTTTTTTAGGATCTGAAAGAAAGGGTCAGAAAGAAATTAAAAGACTGGAAGAGCCTCTCTTTGTCTGCTGCAGGGAAAGAAATTCTAATCAAAGCAGTCGCTCAAGCTCAGTTGATCTATCCTATGATGGTTTTCTACATCCCGGAGGGTATTCTTCATGAGATTCAGAGCCTAATAGCGAGATTTTGGTGGGGACAGAAACAGGAAGAAAAGAGGATTCACTGGCTTAATTGGGATGAATTATGTCGCCCAAAGGATAATGGAGGACTTGGATTCAAAGATCTGAGAACTGTCAACATTGCAATGCTCGGGAAACAAATCTGGAACATCATAAACAGGCCTAACTCACTTATGGCTAAAATTCTTAAAGCCCGATACTTCCCCAGGAGTGAGTTATTGGAGGCTAAGGCAGGGAGTAACCCAAGTTTTATCTGGAGAAGCATTGTGAAGGCAAAAGATGAAATTGTGGATGGATTCCGATGGAGAGTTGGTAACGGGGAGAACATCAGGGTCTGGAGAGACTGGTGGATTCCCAATATGAAGAAACCATCACCAGCAGACCAAAACACATTGCAAGACGAAAACCTAAGGGTCAGCTCCCTCATTGACAAGGACAGTGGCTGGTGGGATATCTCAATGCTACAGGCTTTATTCACAGACACTACTCAAGCTGAGATTTCGAGAATCCCCCTAAGAACACCCCCTGCTGATGACTCAATTCTATGGTCTGAAACGGACAATGGCATCTACAGTGTTAAATCGTCCTATAAGAAGCTGTGGAGGAGAAGTCACATGCAGGAAGATAATAATGATAACAGGGTGCAAAGACTGAGAAGCTACTGGAAAAAGATTTGGAGCCTTCCCATTCAACCCAAAGTGAAAGTTTTCCTATGGAGAATAAGCAGGGACATCTTACCAGTTGGAACAAACATCGAAGGTAGGATCGAGGAAGCCCCATCTGATTGCCCCTTCTGTGGTCTTCCGGAAACACAGCTCCACTGTCTTAGGGACTGTGCTTGGACTCGGCGCCTTTGGCAATCTTGCGATGACAGAGAAGTCTTTCTGCAGGGCGAAGGCCTCTCCGGCCATGATTGGTTTCTCAAGGTGTTCGAATCCCAGCCGAATGACAACCTCCAAAGGTTCTGCGCAATCCTATGGTTCATCTGGAAGGAAAGATGTAATCAGATGTTCAATAACAAGAAGCTGGAGGAGGAGGAAATCATCCCAAGAGCTATCGAATGGATCATAAATTACCTCCAGGCCCAGAGCTCCAATACCCAGCATGCAAGACAAGCCACTAGCAACCAAGGGTGGTCACCACCGCCAACCGGATCCATCAAGTTGAACTGCGACGCGGGGATCCTAAAACCGTCGGGGATTGGGTTTGGCTGTGTGTTCAGGAACTGGAATGGTGATTTCCTGGGGGCGATTGCAGGGAAGGAATCGGGATCATGTAAGCCAGTGGAGGCTGAAGCTAAAGCAATTCTTGCTGGTCTGAGAGAAGCTAACCGAAGGGAGTGGAGCCCCTTGATTGTGGAGACTGATTGCCTTAACCTGATCAAGTTATTGGATAAGGAAGATGAAGACAGAACTGAATTGGGGATCTGGTACAAGGAGATTAGGAAGCTGGCGGACTCCAACTCGACCATTTCTGGAAGAAAGGTGGTGTGGGCTTTTGTGCCTAGAAGCTCAAATTCAGTAGCCCATTGCCTGGCCCATTTAAATTCCCATGTGAACCAAATGTGTATTTGGACTGAAGGTCCACCAAACTCCATTAGGAGTCTGTTAGAGGCTGAGAAAGCCCAGATTTGCTGAGATTCAATAAAATCCATACAGGGCTTCTTATCAAAAAAGAATGATGAGGATTGACCAATGAGTCAATGCCACGTGGAACAAAACTGATTGGCGGCCGTCTGTTAAAAAATATTTGCCCTTGTAAACGACGTCGCTTCCATGGAATCCCTGACAACAAGGGGGATTCCGGATGCCTGATCACCATTTCCCGTTCGGGCGAAGAGTAACAACAGAGCTTGGAAGTACTTGTAAAAAAAAAACAGCGCTTGGAACTTGGAAGGCTGCTCCATCCTTCAATCGAAAAACCCTCAGAAAGACAAACCGGCGGCGATAATGGAGAACAAGTCGGAGCCGACGGTGAACAAGAATCAGAAGAAGGCCAACCTTCTAGATCACCACTCGATCAAGCACATTCTCGACGAGTCCGTCTCCGAGGTGAGAAAAAACCCTAATAATCCGCTCAATTGGATTTCAATTGCTACTGAATTCCTTATCTGATATTATTCTTCTGTTCTCGTTTCGGTTGGGGGAGAGAATTCTGTAGATCGTTGCCAGTCGTGGATATGCTGAAGATGTCAGGATGAGCAATGTCAGGTTGTTTCTCGGGACTGTCATTATTGCCGTTGCTCTCGTTGCTCAGTTTTACAAGAAGAAGTTCCCGGAGAACAGAGACTTTTTGATCGGTTGCATCGTATTATATCCTTCTTTTGATCTAAACATTCACTAGCTGCTATCTCCTTAAAATTTTGCTCCGTTTGTAATCGTAGAATTGTGAATCATTCCTGTGTATTTGTTCCAACTCTCTTGGGAATTAAATGCCTGAATTTTGTTGATGGCTAAGTTGTTGGATCCTTGACTATGGCAAGTATGTAGTCCTCAACGTGGTGTTGCAGCTGATCATATTCATAAAGGAAAAGAACGCCATCTTGTTCACTTACCCTCCTAAGGTAAACTTTGTTCTTCCTGTCATTACAGATCCGTACTTGTGTTGAGTAATGTGTGGAATCAGAGCCTTATGTTGATAGATGCCGTTGGTTGATTGCATCGGATGGTTTTGAAATGGTTAGCTGGCCTATATGCTTTTGTGTTAGTTGTCTTCCTTGGATTACTAGATGCACACAAGACATCTAGCTTTATTTCTCTGTGGATCTTTCTCCTTATGCGCTTTGCAAGTGAACAACGGAAGCATTGAAGACTACTAGTGATACATGTAAACACACTACTCTGGGTCTGACTGACTCCTTAATTTAATATTATAGAAAGTAGAAAGAGCTAATGCTCCCATCTACTTCCTTTCTGTGAACGGTTCATCATTGTTTTAACTAGGGGTTTTGTACTCCTTGAAGTACAAAGTGAACCTATTTGCTCACTGCTCAATTGTATTGTGTTACTTCGGATCCCATAGGGACTCTGGTATCCTGTGTCCTTCAGTTGTACTTTAGTTATAGTAATTGGTTGAGAGTGGTGATTGATTGGCTGTGGTAGGATTGTACTTCTTGTTGTTTGCCGAAGTGCTTATGGATAAATACACTTGGTTGGATCCATGATTCATTGCGAAAATTATGTCAATGTGCACATCTTTCGTGTTTGAGCTAAACATCCTTTTACTAGGAGGAATGAGATTTTGAGTATGAAAGATCTGTCTTTAGCGTTATTGGTCTTTTGAAGTACTAACTTGAAAGAAACTTAATTTTATTGTCTTTGACGTCCAGACAATGAACTTTAATCTGTGTTGTATTAGAAAGATGCAGTCCTCGTTTGTCTAGACTAGACAACTTAAACATTGTTGCTGTGGAGTGGAGCATGCACACTGGACTGATAATTCCTAGTAGGTTGCTGATTTGAATGTTTGGAATTCTACTCCTAAAGTGTAGGAATCTTATACGCTATATGCTAGCAGAATTAATTTGGATAAAGCTGATGCTACTTGTTTTTTGTGTAGGGATCTTATACAAGTACCGGTTTGATGATCTCTTCCAAATTACCAAGATTCGCTGATGACTACACACTTACTATAGCAAGTGCTGATCCAAAGTCAATTTCTGCTGGGAAGACAGTGGAGTTTACTAAAAGTGTTACAAAATGGCATGTCTCTGCTCTCTTTCTCTGCTCTTTGCACCTATTCACTGAGCGTCATAGGCCATAGCTTTGGATCTTCATGAAACACAGTGCAGAATTGGTAATGTAGTATGTGACCATCGTTTTGCAGGTTCACTAAGGATGGAGTGCTGGTGGAGGGCCTATTCTGGAAGGATGTTAACTCTCTATTAGACGAGTATGCAGGGGAGGTAAAGAAGAGCAAGTGATCTTTTTAAATCTGACCACTCCATGACATAGGTGAAAAGCATACATTAGCTCCAATGATATCATGATGCTTCAGAACGACAACTTTCAAATGCCAAAGGACAAGGATTAGACTTTACATTATCTTCCTAGACAATCCATCGTTACTCACAAGCGATTCCGTCTAGAGAATCATTTCTCCCCCCCCCGATTGAATGCCCCTTGTATGTTGATGATTAAAGATGTTGTACAGCTACAACATCCTATTGAACAGGAAGAGCTGCAATCTATGCTCAAGGGCACCCGGAGCAACTAGCTATTGGGGAAGTTATAGTTGCGTCAAATGTTTTGCAGGTCATCGGCCAATTTCGCCACTCTGCTTGTGTGCATAGTACTGATGTTGTTGTATTACACAATTGCAGGGATCTGAGTTGGATGCACTCGTTGAGTGCTGAGGTTGTAGTATTGCACAGTGCATTTAGCCGTCGAGATCGGTGCATTGCGTGGTCCAACAACATCAGCACATTCTCTCCCCTACCCTTATCATGTTATGAGTAGGCTTGGTAGTGATCTTCTGTTGTCAGCCATTGCTTGGGCCCAACTTTCTTTTGGCCTAGTGTTCGTAGGGTCTTAGCTTTCTTGTTGGGCCTGCAGAGTTCTATTATCTTCATGGTTCAGATTTAGGTAACCAGTTCGTGGAGCGAGAGCGGGAGCGAGAGCGTGAGAGCATCTATTTTAGAAGAATTCGATATTGAGAGCGTGAAGAAAGCGTCATTATTATATTATTATTTATATAAGAGACTTGATAATCATCCAAAATTATATAAAACTAGTGGCTAACTAGGTTATATAAATTTAATCGAAACTAATTAATCCAACATAGAACAGAGTTCAAGTGATGGGACGTGCACCAATTACTCTAAACTTAATAAACATTTATTTAATTATAAATTTTCCTACCTCTTTTCCTATATTTTTTTATTTATTTTGCCGGTGCTGTCTCAGAGTGTCTCTTCCTCTTTTAATATAAAGATAAATGGCTAACAGAGCACCTCCGATCCTTTTCCCTTCTCGTTCAAAAGTCGGAAATCAGGGGGTTTCCGACTTTCAAATCTTAAATCAATGGCAGCGTCAAGAGAGGTCTCGTTGGTGACAAGGCAAGGCTTCATCTGAGAACCGCCGCTAGGTCCCCGACTCTCTTCGCCTCCGCCGCTAGGTCCCCGGCTTTCTCCGCCTCCGCCGCCCAGCTTCACCACCACCCCCTCCGCCGAATCCCCACCACAATCGAAAACGATAAACATTGGGCGGGATAAACATTGAGCTTAAGGGAATTCACGCTCCATTGATAGTGGATTCGCGCTCTAGCATAAATAGATTCGCGGATTTTAGGCGATTCGATTGCAGTCCGCGTTTCCGCGCTCCAAAGCGGGAGCGGCCACCCAAAAGAGACGAATTAGGTTATCTAAGTTCAGATAATCCAAGCAGTCAGTGCCACCCGAATCCTCGGTGTCGATAGGGTCCACAGGAAGATATTTGTGTCGCTGTAGGGCCCAACGCCTTGGTCCATCTAGCTCCGATGGTCACATCCAGCGGTCCCGCTTCCCAGCCACAAGCTCACCGTCTTACGTACCACAGAGTAGGGGTGGGCATAAGGTTCGGTAAAACCGAACCGAACCTAACCGAACCGAATATAAACCGAACTGAAACCGAATTAATGTTATTCGGTTCGGAATTCGGAAGAGAAAAGGGCATATTTCGGAAATCAGGGTCCTTTAGACCGAACCGAATTTCCGAATTCCGAACCGAAAAACCGAATTATTATAATTGCAAGTTTTAAATGGTGGATTTTTATGTTTCTACTTATTATGAGACTTAAATATTTGAATCATGTTAGTGTTTTATGACTTATGTGTTGAAATGTTTGATTTTATTATTGATGATGCATATTTATTGTTTACATTATGGGTGAAAAATAATTTAAAAAAGAGAAGATACAAGCTAACCTCACTATTTCGGGTTTGTATGAAAAACCGAACCGAACCGAATTATAATTCGGTTTGAACCGACCGAACCGAATTATAATTCGGTTCGAATTCGGTTTGAGGTTTGATAGAATTCGGAGACCCGGTATGCATAATTTCGGTTCGGTTTGAACCAAACCGACCGAATGCCCACCCCTACCACAGAGTCACCACCTCACATAAAATAAAAGTACAAGTAGCATGAAGATGATTTTTCATTCATTTCATCATCTCTCACACCAACAATTCACTGCACTTCCAGTGCCCACTATTAATTATACACCCAATTTCCAGAAATTTGTATGTAACGAAAGAGACGGAAATGAAAGGACGGGTAGTTATCATAAATGGTCACAAAACTATTCACTTTGTACAAAACGGTCACAAACCTTTAATTTTGCACATTTCAGTAACATATGTTTGGACTAATAACAAAAAGGTAATTCCGTCCATCTTCATCCATAATTCTGTTAGTTTGGTCTAGTCAGTTGTCCCGTCAGCATCCACATCATCAAAATAATTAATAAAAAATAAAATAAAACCAATTAAAACCTAACCAACCAACCCACCACCCCAACCCAACCCAACCCCTTCCTCTCTATCTCTTCTCCCTCCCCTGTATAAAAGCGGAGAGCCCCATTGAAGTTTGTTTCCCCAAATCAAAGTGAAAGACCCCTGGCCAAGGATTGTATCGAGCTCGGAAGTTTTTATATGCCACGCATCACCCCAGCTCCAAGGTACCTATCTATCTATGGCGTGGTATGTTAGTCTTCTCGATAACTAGAATTTCGCTTTCTACCGAACATGACCTGGATTCATTGATCTCAGGGGAGTCTTCATCTAATTTCTTGCTTGCTAGGTATTGCGCTTGTTTTCCTTTTGCTTCCAAGGGGCAGCTCGAAGGAACTATCCTTCATTTTGTTGAGCGACTAACAAAAGCCCTTGATGTGTGGAATACTTTTATGTCGATCACAGAAACCCAGAAACTGGCAATCGAAATGCATGGTCTAGAACAAGAAATCCTTACCAGGTTGCTAGTAAATACTATAAAGATTAAATCTTTATAATTGGTGGAACCAAAGGGAAAGTGGGGGAAAGGAACAGAAGTAACCATGGTGGAAGAAGTAACCATGGTGGACGATGATTCCTTTTGGAATACTTTTCCCATGCCTCAGTAATTAGTACCCAGCATCTGTTCCTCCATAATGCCGCCACCGATACCGCTTCCTTCTCCTTCATCCAAGTCGGCCGTTTTCTGATTCTCCCTCCGGCGGTCGCCTCTTCCGATTCGGACTCCGTCGCAGCCGGCAGTAAATGTATTCGAGGGGGATTGGCGGAAGAATACATCAGCCGCCAACAACCAACGGATGGGCGGAAGTTTTTCTGCAGATGGGTGGTGCGGAGATGGTTGCAGAGAGGGAAAGAGGTATGGAAGAATGGGTTGGGTTGGATTGGATTGGGGTGGTGGTTTGGTTAGGGTTTAATTGGTTTTATTTTATTTTTTTATTAGTTATTTTGATGATGTGGATGTTGACGGGACAATTGACTGGACCAAACTAACAGAAGTTTGGATGGAGATGGACGGAATTACCTTTTTGTTATTAGTACAAACATATGTTATTGAAACGTACAAAAATAAAGATTTGTGACCGTTTTGTACAAAGTGAATAGTTTTGTGACCATTTATGATAACTACCCATGAAAGGACGGCCTAGTTGTAAGGATTAGAGTCTCGTTGGTTGTAAAATTACGTATGCATTATCTCTTGAATTTCTGATATATATCTTGTGAACTCTACAATTTGATTTTTGTCAGATGCTTGAACCGAAAGAGCGGCAAGAAAACAGTTTTATGACCTCATCAAATCCGCAAAACCTTTTGATGAATTCAGGTTATCCAACCAAGGAACCCAAAAATGGAAACTCCCTAATTGGTCCATACTCTGATACTCCATACAAATGTTCTCTTTACCTACCTTTTCTTTACCCAGTTAAGTTAATTTCATGGTGCGCTCTGAACTCTTTGCGTACGTTTCCTTCCCCACTGGGCCGTTCGGTCCACCGCCCAATCATGAGGAAAAGTCGGCTCTTCTGGTGACGTGGTGCTTCGTTCAGCATCCACCTCAACAGGCCCACCAGAGGGCCCACATCGAGTCCGGATCTGGTGACTAAGGGGGGGTGCTTAGTCACTTGGCTAAGCCCCCCTCAGCCCTTGGATCAATCTAATGGTGTAGAAAATGGAAGGACTATTTTATTAATAAGAAGGGCAATTCTGGAATTAGGAAAAATTCAAAAAAAAAAAAAATTCTCCACCTTCTCTTCTGCGCTGCCAGCCACGGGATGAAGAGGCGACGATGGAAAAGAGGCGACCGGCGGCGACGATGGAGAGAGAGAAAGGAGACCTCGACCACGACGGCGACAGCGACGGCGACGGCGACGATGGAAAGAGGGAAAGGAGATCGCGACGGAGGCGAAGGCAATGGCGGAGAGAGAGCGCCGGCGACAATGGAGGAGAGAGAGGCGGCGCGACGATGGAGGAGAGAGAGGCGGCGCGACGATGGAGAGAGAGAGAGAGGTTGCGATGGCAGTAGATTGAATCAGCGGCGGCAGCGGTGGAGAGAGAGTCGACGGCGGCGGCAGCGGTGGAGAGAGAGTCGTCTGAAGGAAGAACAGTGATTTGTATAGTTTGTATGTTTTGTAACATTAGTTTGTATTGTTAGTATTTTTGTACAAAATGTCAGTATGGTTTGTATGTTTTTCTTTGACAGTTTGTACTCTTAGTATGTTTTTCTTTGACAGTTTGTACTCTTAGTATGTTTTTCTTTGACAGTTTGTATTCTTAGTATGTTTTTCTTTGACAGTTTGTATTCTTAGTATGTTTTGCTTGTATTCTTAGTATGTTTCGCTTTGTATTGTAAGTACTAATAATTTGTATACTTTATATGTATTGATTTGTGATGCAAAAAACATTACAAACATGGTTGACAAAAATGTGGACAAAAA